TCTTGTCTGATCCAAAGTGTTTCAGATAAAAGGAACCTGGAATGCAGGGACTATATCTGTAGAAGTAGAACTATAATATATCCAGTAAAGTATCATGCAAACAGAGATGCTGAAAAAGTCCATTTGATGATGAAAGAAAATCAGATAGGTAGAGAATTAAATAGGCAGCTACACAGAGCTTTTCAGCAAGCTAGTCCTTCATGACTATAGCCTGCAGGACTTCTCATGAAATAAAATAATCTTGTAATCATGTAATTTCAGGTTTATTGCTTTCTCTTTTTAGCTATGAGTCTCTCTAACCATAATTCTGGCAAAGCCCATTTTGGCATATTGCTATTCAAACATATTCAAAACCCACAACAGGCTACCCTTTAAAAAGGCATTAGTGTAAGTGCCATGGGAAAATATACTCCAAGGTTGTAGGTGAATTGATATGATTTCCTTGATTGTATCTTTTTATTTATGAGGCATAATTTATGAGCACTGGAGAACAAACTGCAATGAGTGATGACTAACTACAGTCAAAGTCATAAATCAGGAGCAGTGAAAGAAGTGATGATTTTGATCGAATCTATTGAATTAGCTGTTGGCCTTAGCCAATACAGGTATTGGAAAGACCTTTTTAATATCTATTTGTCTCCCTCATGGGAATGTGATAACAATCTCATTACATGCCCCTAGGAAACAAATAATTTAATTGTTTGTCTGTTAACATGCAACCTATTTACTCTACTTCTTAATTGCTGGCATTTGGACATTCATGTTGGGTTTTTGTTTATTTCTGATGTGAATTGTCACAAAAATATATTCATGTTCTCTAGTTTTAGAAAGAATGAAGTTGCTTCCCTAGTGCTGTTCAATATGAATATGTCATCAGTATTGTTGAAATGCTTTTGTGCTATCAAAAATTGTCATTATTCCACAAGGAAGCATGTTACAGAATATCACGGAAGTTGCAGAGATCTCAAAAATGCCTCCAAATCTTAATCTTTTGAGAGCAACAGGCATAATACAACTCTTATAATAAGCAGCCTGGAAAAAGAACAAAATCTCAAATTGCTCCAAGGGCAAGGACAGTCACTGACACTTACATTAGGAGGCAACAGATTAGAGGTTTTCTTTGAAAGATCACTGGCTGAATTTCGTTATTCCTGCATTCTGTTTTTGTATGGAAAATGAGAGTGAGTGCAAGAACAAGTAGACATCAATTGGATGCTAACAGTGTAGACAACATTTCTAAGCTGTTCCCTGGACTTTAACAAGACTTGTAGCATGATGATCTCTCAGCCAAAAGAATCATAACATATTTTTACAACTAAGGAGATTTGTTTATGATATGAGAAAGAAAAACACATCAGGAAGTCCCCAGAGATTTACATTAAGAATTTCTCTTTGCATTTAGACTATACTTGGAAAATATCAGTCCTAAGGAATGCTATTTCAGAAAGCTATAAAGCACTAAAGCTTCGTGTAAGACAAAGCACTAAACTCTACAGTTAAGTGTAGAAGTTGGGCTAAAGAATAACTAGCACAATACTGTAAGCACCCAATGGGCTACCACTCTGGGAGAATTTTCAGATCTATCTCCCCTTCCCTTGTCCTCTTCAGAGTCATGGTTCCTTCTCTGTCTCTTTTACAACAATTATTACAAATACTTCTGTTCACACATTCTTGCTTCCTTTCTGGAAGCAAATTAAAAGGAGAAATGTGTTGAGAAGAATTGGGAGTATTTAGAATAATATGCTGCAAGGGAAAAATGGATCCAACAAGTTTCAGAAATATCAGGATTTCAAGAAATTTACACCTGGAGTGAAAACTAGGTAGCAAATGATGGTTCTACAAAGCTAGTGAACTCTGGTTCTGTTTGGAACCATGACCACTGTAATAAACTCTATGATGATTAATGCAGCTGTAACATCTTCAAACAGATACATGCTTCATGCTTTTTTGAATGGCTGAAGGTAACGACAAAGGAAATGCAGGGTACGACTCTAAATTTCTATTCTTATGACGTATGAATAGAAATTTAAAATATATAGTGCCTAGATTCTGTACCAGGTTCTATAGAGAGTAGCCTTCTGTGTTTCTCATATAATCTTGGGCACAAGAATCACTTGGAAATGCGTTAGAAAGACAGGTTCCAAGGTCCTTCTGCCACAAATTCTGATATAGGTACGCAAAATGATTTTGATGATCGTGGCCAAGGAACACTTTTTGACAAAGACTCCTCTGATGGAAGATTTCTAGGAGGCAGTTTTAAACAGAGAAGAGATGATTAAACCTGTTTCCACAGAAATGGGATTTTGGCATCTTGGTGGGAGATGTTGACACAAGGTAATTGAAATTTTTTAAGGCAAAATACAGTCATTAGTCCCGGGGAGGGGGGATAATAAATAAAAGAACAATTTCATTTCTTTAATGGACAATAACATAAAGATGGTAATGGTCACTGGTTAGATTTTTTTAAATTAAACTGAAAACAGAAATATAAACAGAAATTAATCTACTTTTTTTCTAGTCAATTATAGAATTTGTGGTTAAATGGTCTTAGTTGTTTTGGTTTTATCCAAATGGTTGATCTATGTTCTCTGTGACATCTTCTTACATTATAACTCTTGTCATGGTTACAACCAAAACCTTAGAGAAGAGAACACCCTAATTTGGCCAGTCCCAACTTGTTCTTGTTTATAACGTTCTTCATTGGGAGGTTCCTTAACTCTTACAGTTATAATTGTGTGTGTGTGTGTGTGCAAGTGTTCACTAAACACGAATAATTGTTTTAGTGAAAACTTTAATCATCTTTTTTATTATAAAAGAGTAAATATGTTCAGCTGGATACTGTAGGAATAAGGATATTGTGAATAAATTAAAAAAATGAAGAGTATCCTTAATTTTTGTCACTTTGACTTGAAATTCATAAGCTTTACTTGCTCCCACCCCACCAATATGTCCCTTCTTTTCTGTGAGCAACCCACACAGAAAGAGCCCACATTTTTGTACCCAATGATCATGACAGGAAATCTTGGGTCACAAACCAGATGGATTAGCTTGTCAGGTAAAATGTAGGTAAATAGGTGGTGATGGATGGATGGACGAATGGATTAGATAGATGACAGAAAGAATAGAGATAGATACAGTAGGCAACTCCATGTTCACAAGACATTTTATTTCTTGATTTTTATATTGGTTCATTAAAATTAAAAGATCAGGTCATATTGCTCAAAATTTCCCATGTAAGATCTCTGCTGCTTCTTTCTCCACCCTCTAAAGATGGACCCAAATCTTGGGCTCATTGTTTCTCAGTAGAAATCATAAGCATATCTGTTAGCATTTTCTTAAAGATTTATTTATTTTAGAGAGAGAGTGTGCACACGAGTGGGAGGGGCAAAGAGAGAGAGAATCCCAAGCAGACTCCATGCTGAGTGTGGAGCCTGACTCAATGCTCAATCCCACCACCCTGAGATCGGGACCTGAGCTGAAACCGAGTGGGACGCTCAACCAACTGAGCCACCCAGGTGCCCCTCTGTTAGCATTTTTATTCTGAATCCTGAACTACTATACTTCAGTTCCTTGTTTCTTGCTTCACTGGGCATAGGCAGAAATCCACGCAATTTTTGTGTAAAGGACTTTTTACCTCAACAGACAAAGAGGTATTGACAGTTTCTTTTTTGTTTCTTCTGGCAGTTTGGTATAACAGAAACATTGCCTTGTGGGACAAGTTTTGTGAAATCCATAATTCTTCATTATTTCAGTCAGCTTTCTCTTCATTGTAACTGCTTTGAGTAGCTCATGTAAATAGGCTGATCCTGCTTTGCATAAACACGTTGATTTATATGAATGTTATTTTGATCTCAAATTGATTGAATACTAAAAAGAAAGACTAAGAAAAAGGGCAGTATATTATGAAGGTCTCCTGTCAAAGACAAAAGACGCTAAGTCCTACATATATTCCCAGTTAGTGATGAAGAATTTCTAATTGCTGAGGTTTAGGAACAGAATATTTTTACAGAAATACAGAGAAACACTATAACACTGAGTAGAAGAAACAAAAACAAAGCTAAGCTCTCGCTGCGGAGTAAATTCTACGGTCTGTTTCTAAGCATCTCATATTTTGGATGTTCTGCATGCTTTTTTAACACTGCACACCTGGCACGTGTGTAGTATGGAATCAAACAAGTTTTTCAGACTTTAAAAGCTCAGGACAAATATAAATAAATAAATAAATATATATATATATTTAATACATATATATATGTATATATATATATATTAGAAGACATAGTAGAAGACACTAGATGAGAAAGAAAATTTCCTGAAGTTAGATTTGCACACCACGAAAGCTTACTAAGGAATACTCCTACTCCTAAACATGCAGACAGTCTTCTTATATTGCCATTTAGATCTATCATTCTGATTGATCACTGTGTAGTTGGCTGTTATTGGGCCTAATTTAACCCTATACACTCACACATCCATCTACTCTGTCTATTGTACCTGACATTGTACAAATTACTTACTCATGCAAATGACGACCTAAGGCAACCTTTTAGGATATTCGTGTTTAATTATACAAATGGTTCTTGATAAATAAGATTATGCATTCTTCCATATGTTTATTCCCTCCTTGATGAAAGGAAAATTTAATTTTCATGCAGATTTGGTGGGGACGGTGTTTAAGAATTGCTGAGTTTTATGTAGTCTGCAGATCCATTCAGGTTGCAGAAGCTGACAAAATCACTCTACACCCCACTCAGAGATGAGTTTTTCATTAGGCTTTAACCAGCCTGCTGCATTCTGACGTTAGGGCTCCTAATTGGCCCCCTTTGTGTTCACATGGCCAAAGGCAAAAAAGAGGAAGAACTTGCTCTCCTCTGTGATGACAAAATTGCAAGATCCAAGTTTATCTCATTCTGTTGTGTTTGGTTGCTTTGGGTTGCCAACTTTTCTTCCAGCCTGAAGTTACCTTGCTTTTGAGTGGTCTTATTGATTTCTCTTTGGAGGTCTGGGCAGTGAATTCAGCAGGAAAAGCCCCCAGTACCTGGACATGGTGTAGAACTGGGCCTGCTCCCCCAGAAGGTCTCGGGGCCCCCACATTCCATGCAGTCTCTTCCACCCAAGCAGTGGTCAACATCAGCGCCCCTGGGAAGCCCAACGGAATCGTCGGTCTCTACAGGCTGTTCTCCAACGCCAGTGGGGTGGAGACAGTGGTGAGTAGCAGATTACTCTGAACAAAAATCCAGGACTGGTTTGTTCTGTAAAAATTGACTATGGTGCCCTGGCCTTTTCTTCTACTTGAGACTTCTTTCTTTCCCATCTGTTCTCAATTGCCCATGATGAACTTAGCACAAAGATCCATCAGAGAGAAATAGTGAGAGTTAGGAAACATACAGAAATTATTTAAGTATTCAGGGAGAGAAGTGCTAAAGGTATTAAAGACTCCACAAACATAAGAAACCTAGGACTTTAGTGACAATTGATTTAATTTAATTAGAAAATGCATGTCAAGGATTGCCATACAGTAAGGGATCAACACATGGCCATTGTTGGTGGTGTAAATGTTAATATGAGAAAGAAAAAATAGAGCAAAGACTATCCTCGGACCCCCATTCTGGCATGAGAAAGTCTCTAATAACACTGAAAACTCAGTCTTTCGGTGACTTGGAGAAAGTTCCAGCACTTTGGGAGAAAGCAGAACAGTTTGGCCAGCACAAGTCTTGCTCTGCTGTTTGTGTGTTGGCACGTTTGGGGACATGAGGGAAACACAATGGACAATTTAGAGACATCATCTTTCACACCGTGTTCTAGCGAAGCCACTGGCTGAAGGGACCCTAATGATGAACTAGACCAGTTCCTACATTATTTATACAAAGAGGCTGAGAGTCAGCAGGATAAAGCCTCTTCTCTGTAGCACAGTGTGTAACACTCTCACATTTCTCATAAGTGTAGATTATAACACTTTGTTCACAAAAAGAACCTCATGGATGAGTTATGCAGATCTTACTATGACATTATAAATTATTTAGACCAATTTAGGGAACAATTTGGGTAAGTGTGGAGAAATCCTCTGAGGTCAGAGTTCTAGGTATTGAAACACAATTTCAGAAGACAACTTGCAAGGAAAGTGGTATCATATTGAATGTTAAAGGAATATTAGCATATTTTCTACAGGGCTTCATATTCAATAAATATAGATGATGTAAATACAATCAACCCTTGATTATCCATGGTTATAAAATGATAATATTAATAAACTAAAATAATTTCTATTTGGAGCGCATTGTACACATTTTTTTAAATAGCAGATAACTCTTCTTAATTATATGTTGCTTACGTGAATGTAAAAATTCATTTTCCAGTTTCTGAACTCTTTTGTTCCAGAGTTCTTAATAAAACCACAATGAGATTAAAAACATGCTCCAAATAAACCAAAAAGTTTATAACACAACAAAGACTGTTGAAAAAAAGACTATATTTCATATATACCAACACCGCTGGGGAAGAGATGGACTTTCAAGTTCTTACATATCCATAAAATATAAAAAAATATAACATATACAAATATATAAGATATATATTTCAAGCTCTTAAATACTCAATTTAACATGGATTTGAGGGAATTTTTGGCCCAAAAAACACACGTTGATAACAATGGCAAAGTATGAAACTTCGTGAATATTGACTACCAATACAATTGAAATATAGGTTTTGTTTTTTAAAAAGGCATTATTCTGAGGGTCACAGAATTTGATCCATATTTTGTGTTTCTGTTGGTGGGAATACAAACTGTTGTGGTCACTCTAGAAAACAGTATGGAGGTACCTCAAAAAGTTAAAAATAGAACTACCCTATGATCCAGCAATTGCACTACTAGGTATTTACCCAAAGGATACCAAAATACTAATTCAAAGGGATACATGCATCCCGATATTTATAGCAGCATTATCTAGAATAGCTAAATTATGGAAATAGCTCAAGTGTCCATCGACGGATAAAGAAGACGTAGTATATATATACACAATGGAGTTGATTCAGCCATAACAAAGAATGAAATCTTGACATTGGCAATGACATGGATGGACCTAGAGAGTATTATGCTAAAATAAGTCAGTCAGAGAAAGACAAATACTGTATGATTTCACTCGTGTGGAATTTAAAGATTTTATTTATTTATTTGTCAGACAGAGGAATTTAAGAAACAAAAACGATCATAAGGGAAAGAAGGAGAGAGGGAAACCAAGAAACAGACTCTTAATTATAGAGAACAAACTCCCAGAGGAGAGGTAGGTGGCGGATGGGTGAAATAGGTGGTGGGGATGAAGGAGCGCACTTCCTACGATGAGCACCCGGCATTGTATGGAGGTGATGAATCACTAAATTGTACACCTGAAACTAATATTACACTGTGTTAACTAACTGGAATTTAATTAAAAATTTTAAAATACATACTTTATGGGCCACCTGGGTGGTGCAGTCAGTGGCGCATCTGACTTGGTTTTGGCTCAGGTCATGATCTCAGGGTAGTGAGATCCAGCCCCGCATAAGGCTCTGTGCTCAGTGTGGAGTCTGCTTGGGATTCTCTCACCCTCTCCTTCTGTCCCTCCTGCTGACGCACTCTCTGTCTCTCTCAATTAAATAAATAAATAAGTCTTTATATATATATAAAAGATATATATATATATTGCATGTTTTGTGCCATATTCTATTCTTTCTATAGTGATAAACAATATTATGCATTGTGATTTCTATCCTGTTACCTCAAACTTCTAACTATGATATCATTACATTTTTTGCATGTTTAAGTTATGCCTTTCCAAGCGGACTGGCAATTCCTTGAGGGTAAATGTTATGCTAAATGCTCCGGTGCATCTCCCAGGGTACGGAGCATGGCACTCTCTTCGTAGGAGGTGAGATACATGATAAACATTTGTCAGTTGTCTGTGATCTGTGACACGGCCTCATCTAGTCTCCTCTGTCTTCCTACAGTTGTCTGAAGGCATGGCCACCCAGCAGACTCTTCACGGCCTGCAGCCCTTCACCACGTACTCCGTTGGGGTGGAGGCCTGCACCTGCTTCAATTGTTGCAGCAAAGGGCCAACGGCAGAGCTGAGAACTCATCCCGCTCCACCCTCGGGACTGTCCTCTCCCCAAATCCAGACGCTGTCCTCGAGGACAGGGTCCTTCCGGTGGAGCCCACCCCTGTTCCCCAATGGTGTCATTCAAAGGTAATGGGCCAGACAAAAGGATGAATAAGCTAAAATAAGACATGCATACAGTCTTGTAGCTGCCCAGCACTGCCTCAGGAAGCCATGCTTATTGAACAAATACCTATAGCAAAATAGACAAGTAAATTGATTAGAGTTGTAATGTTCCCTGCCAAGTGTTTAAATCACAAAATCAACTAGATAGAAAGGCGAACAACCAAACTGTCTTTAAATAAGAAAGATGATGCAATGTGTTTGCATTCACTGAAAAAAGAGGCTCCTCCTCATGGTTCCCTGGAATTATCCCTTCTATAGGACTCAGCTGGAACACAGAAAACTTCTGTGGTTAAATCAGAACTTGCTTGATCTAATTTAAAATGTTGTCATGAAGCACAGTTTGGAAAAACAAGGAAGGTATTTCACTCAAAATAATCTGGATGAAAAGATACTGTTTTGTTTTGTTTTTGTTGGTTGGTTGGTTGGTTATTATTTATTTGTTTAAAAAATGATATTCTCTATTTTCAACAGAGGAGAACAATTTTATCACTCTTCTGAAAAGAGAGACATTTCTCTCTACCAACAAGGATTGCTAGTTGCTGGTGGGACAGCACATGTGAGCACATTTGACTCTGGTTACATCTGCTGCTCATTTCCAATGGCATTAAAGAAAGTGTTACTGACAGCAGTTTCCCACAAATGGAAATCAGAAAGAGCTGATGGTTCTGCTAACACAAAATGTCTCCTCACAAAATATACCCCGTTTTCAAAGAAAGTTCAACTAATCTTACTGCCTGCTTTCGGCTTCTAGCTATGAGCTTCAGCTCTATGCGGCTTGCCCTCCAGATTTAGCCACGCTGTGTGCCCCCGGCCAAGCAGAGACCAAGTATGTGGGGCTGGGGCTGACGGCCAGCCTTGAGGGCCTCCAGCCCTACACCACCTACAAACTCAGAGTGGTGGCCCACAACGAGGTGGGCAGCACGGCTTCTGGATGGATCAGCTTCATCACCCAAACAGAATGTGAGTAGAAGCGGCTGCCACCATCAGCCAGAGAGGTAGGGGGGAAACCAGGAGACACTTGGCTTTTTTTTTTTTTGCTTTGTTTTTTTAAGATTTTATTATTTGACAGAGAGAGAGAGACAGCACAAGCAGAGGGAGAAGCAGGCTCCTCTGTCTGACTCGGGGTTTGATCCCAGGACCTGAGAAGGCAGACACTTAACCCACTGAGCCACCCAGACACCCTCCGAGATGATTTTTTTTTTAGTTTGCCACTCCTTTTCTTTTCAAATTACATGGCATGGCATAATCCAGAAAGTATTTCCAGAAAGCATTGAGATACAGCACTTCAAGAAAAACAGAAGAACAATTAACTAATAAATTGGGGCCTCCTTACATTTCTGTAGAATAACTTCTTTTCAGAATTTATAAGGTATATATGTCAATTGTTTAAAAATGACAGGGCACCTGTCAAAAACAGGGCACCTGGCTGGCTCGGTCAGAAGAACATGCGACTCCTGATCTTGGGGTCATGAGTTCGAGCCCTATGTTGGTTGTAGAGATGACTTCAATAAATAAACTTTAAAAAAATAACAAATACAAAAAGTACTAAGAATAAAATTAGTACTTAGAGTCAGAACCAGCTACATCATGTGCAGGGCCCAGTGGAAAGTAAAGGTGTGAGTCCCCTTATTCAAAAATCACTAAGAATTTCAAGACAGTGACAGTAGAGCATCAAACTAAGTTCGTGACTCTTATGTGAGGGGCCCCGTGCAGCTGTGTGGTTCACACACCCTTAAAGCCACTCCTGCTTATAATCCCACCACCCAGAGGCAACCACATTAGCATTTTGGCCTAATTGATTCCTTTAATCCTTTTCTCATGCAGTTTCTATTATGTGGCTGAGATCATACTTTAATGAAAATTTCATAGTCTGCTTTTTATACTTGACAAACATTTTATTTGCATTTCCCATGACATTAAAAATGCTTTAGCCTAACCAAGTTGAATGACTATATAATTTTCCATCCTATGAATTGGTTAGGCATTTTAGTTGTTCTAATATTTTTCTTTATAAATGTGGTGAGAAATTTCTTTTGAACCCATCTTTGAACGTCCGATCATCTTCAAATTAAATTTCGATGAATGGAATTTATTACATCAAATATTTTAATATTTTGGATACTTATCACAAGTTGGCTTTCCAGCCACATTATATCAACTTATAATCTCATCTTCCGGATTTGGCGTTGGCATTTTTTGAAGTAAGAGTTACACATTCACGAAAGTCCAAAGCCTCATACAAAGACCTTAATGTGACTGGGTGACATGGCAGGATGTTAGCAACAGGTCACTCTGAGAGGGTGGGTCCTGCCACTGTTCAAGGATTTTACAAATAATCCTCAGCACAAGCTGATGAAGTCAGTGCTATTATCCAAATACACAGAAAACTGAAGCAGGTCCGTGGACCATACACTGTAATTCCAAGATGCCATTCACGTAGACCAGAATCTGAATGGAGGCTCTGGAAGCTGTACCATGAAATGTCCCCAAACTAAGGCCAGAGCTGAAGTCACCTGCCAGTTTCCACCCCTGGAAAGTGGAACTATGACTCCAAATTCATGATCCCCCAGCTCAGTGGCACCCTCAGTACCACGATGTTACCCTGGTCTGTAATAAAGATTTCGGACCTTCTCTACCCTCCTCAAGCCTCCTACATCCTCCCACCCCGCCCCCCACCCCCATCCTATCCTCACTCGCCTCTCCCTATATTCTCCAGAACTCCTTGCCTCCAAATTCACCAGGAAAAGACAGGTCACCAGTCAGACATTTGCTCCCTTCCCACCCCAGAGCACCGCATTCACCCGCAATTGGCTTCATTTCTGTCTGCGACGAGGAAGGTGGTCCGTCTACCTGAAATAATCCCACCTCTTGTGCTTCGAATAGCAGCCCCTTCGCTGCTGAACGTCCTCCTCTCTGCGACCTTCAGTGTATCCCGGTTAAAGTCACAGCTGTTTCGCTCCCACATGTCACCTCTGCGGCCTGCCACACTCCTCCCTTCATAGCAAAACTTGTCTGAAGAACGCTCTTCGTGTCTTTGCCCATTTTCTTTCTTCCTATTTCTCCTTTAACTTCCTCAGACTGATTTTCACCTCCTCCCTTCACAAACCTTAAAGGAACCATGAGAAATATTTGTGCCTACCTGAAAACACAGTAAAATGAATTCTGACTTACTAATAAAAAAATGCTACTGTGACAAGGAGCGGGAGAAAACATAATCACCATCCCTGAGAAGGAGTTACCCTTCATAATACAACCATAAGCCAGTTTTGCTAATTATTCCAGTTTTGTGTGTGTGTGTGTATTGGCCAGAAGGCCAGGCCAAAACAACTGTGTGAGGTGTGCAGGGATAACCAATTCTCTTGTTAATCATCAAGCTGAGGTTCACCAGATTTTTTTTTCCCTCATGCTGGGGAAAAAAAAAAAAAAAACCAGAGTGAACAGATTTAAGAATTCCTTCCTTTCTGTTCTTCCTTTACATTGAAGAAGTAGCACCAAGGAAGAAGGGGCTCACTCGGCCCACTTTACTGGATCCACAGACATGGAAAAGTACAATCAGTGACTGGCTATCATAGGGGTTTGTAAATACCATTCGTGCTACTTTTAACTCATGATACACACTAGAATAGAAAAAAATAGGGATCGGAAATACAGACCAAAAGTACTTTAAAAGTAGTATTTGTAGTTTTATATAAGCATGATCACTTACATACTCAGAAAAGGGTCTGGAGAGGCTTTGGCAATGCATCCAGCCCCCTGTGCCTGAACTAGACCTTCGGCACCAGGACAGAAGTGAGGCGTCAACGTTGAACAACTGGCCTTCTTCTTGAGAGAAAAATGTCCTGATTGGAAGCGCTCGCCAGTTTCCGTGGTGTAAATACTCCCACTGCAGCGGATTTCAAGGTGCCCGTGTGACAGCATGGAGCGCAGCTCGGAAGAGGTGGCTGGTCGTGCGCGCTTGTAATCGCTGTACCGTCCAGACACAACAGATGTAAATAACCTCAAGGGCATAGATAATAATACACTGTAGGGAAATGATTAAGGAGTTACGAAAGTTGAGTATTTATTACCTTTCTTTTAATACCATTTATTTCAGTTTACGTAATTTACTTTTCAATAATGGTTGGGTTTAATAACCAACTCACAAAATCCCTAGTCACCACTGGACTGCACCCATAAAGCAATTAGTAAATTGTGCTCCTTTGAGTAAATGTGTATTGGTTACAACAAAGCAACATGGGCTTTACGGTTTAGCAGGTCTGGGTTCAGATCCTCGGTCTCCTACCAGCAACTGACATTAAGCAAGTTACTTGGCTCCTCTGAACCTGAAAAATTAGGAACTAATTCTTACAAGATGGTTTTGAAGATTAAATGAGATAAAACACATCAAGTGCAAAGGGCATAGCGGCTTTTCCTGTTTTCTCAGTCTCCAAATCCATTATTTTTGAGGATTTTGGTTGTTTAATCTCTCTTTCCTCTGGAAGATCTCCATGTCCTGCAAGGCAAATAAAGCTCCTATCTTTCTATTTTCCTACTATTTACAAGCCTCCTCTGTATTTATACTGTTAGGATGCAGAGGAGACGTGGAAATCTACTGAATTGAGTGACAAAAGGAAGCCACAGACAAATACAACAGTATAGTATAGTCCATTGTGATATTGGGCAAAATTTATGTTGGAAAAACAGATATTTAAAGAGGGTTTGGTAGCTCTTGTTTTCGCATTTGCAGAAATATTTTCTTATGGCTTTATAAAAATGTCTTATTTTGAAAGATAAGAATCAAAGTTGTCTTGTGGTTAAATACTGAGATGGCCCAAGTATAAATTATTCCTTATTTTGTTATATTTCCTAACATCAGCAACAGATGGGTTTAATTTCTAAAGAAAAAAGATATCCAATTTATTTCCACCACTTCCTTTTTTCTTTTCTTAAAAGCCAATTTAGTATATAGATGGATCTTAATGCTGTTACAAATGTATTGATTATTTTGGAGAAAACAAGATCTCATGAAATAAATCTCTTCTGACTTGACAAGATGATATGGCAACCCTTCATTTGTTTCTGCAAAAATTATTCATTTAAAAGATGAGACTCCGTTACAGATTGTTTTTCCTTTGTTTTAGTAAGGAGCTGAATAATGGAAAGAGAACATGCACACCAAGTCGCTTCTGTATCTGATATAATACTTAGGAGACCTGAACTTGATTATATACTAATGTACTATGCTATTGATTGATTAGTCAGGGCAATGAATTATTATAGTTGAATTGCTATTTGCAAGGCTTTTTAACTATCTTAGAAAACAAACTAACGTTTCAAGAAAAGCTTTAAAAATAAATGGGTGCCAAAAGGACATAATTCACCATCTAAGCAGTTTAGTTCGGAGGGAAAAAAAATATATTAACTTCATCTAGTCCTTGGGGCTTTGTAGCAATAAATATTGATTCGATATGAAAAATAGCAATCTACTGTAGTTAATAGTGTTAAGGATACTTTACCTGTTAAAAGAGGGAAAATGCAACAAAATATGAGCTCCAGGGTTATGTTGGTAAGCACAACCATTGTATGTTAATAGTTTTATTTCATAAAACACTGCTCTCCATTGATTTTTTTTTTTTTTTTTTTTGGAAAGCAGGTGCAACGGTGCTGAGAAACCATTTCACACATGTTCCCATTGGTTTTCTTTTTACCCCCGATGCAAGGGTTTTTTGTTGTTTTTTTTTTAAACACTGAGGAAAATATGAAGGGTTCCAACAATGCTTATTTAGGGGTGAGGGAGGACATATTAAAAAAAAGATATACATACACACACGTACTCCGAGGTAACCATGTTTAGAACATACAACTTTCTCCCAACAGTGCCCCAGTACCGAGCCCCATTTTTGGTGGACAGCAATTTGTCTCTGGTGCGTGTGGACTGGAGTGGCTCTTTCCTGCTGAACGGCCCACTGAAGGAGTTCGTGGTGACTGATGGAGGCCAGCGTGTGTATAGTGGCTTCGACACCACCCTCTACCTGCCGAGGACGGCGGACAAAAGTTAGTTTCTGACCCCCATTTCATAGTGTGTCAGGAACTCTGGGTCCCCACCTGATAGTCCATCTGAAAGGTGACCAGTAAATGTGTAAATGTCTTGGTTTAAGTGGCCACTTCTTGTGGAAAAGTTGCGGCTCCCAGTAAATAAGCTCTCCCTTCCCGTGTGAAGCTTGATGTGTGGCCATTATGAGGCAGAAGGAGGGGGAGGGCTGTGTGACTTCAGTGTCCCCACAATGGAATGAGAGCGCAGGGCACCATGAGAGAAAGAGTACCGACGAGTAGTCACTGAGTATCCTGAAATAATGCACTTTTCGGGACTTCAGATATTTCCTTGATGAATCCACAGCCTCCAAACGGAGACTGAACAGGCTGTGACCATCTCCAACTCTTAAGGGCTCTGAGTGAGGGCTTTCCTTAACCAACCTTGGTATCCGTTCCTCAAACAAAACCCCTTTGCCTTCGAAAACCGAACTCTTTCTCCCTGTTTAATGACATGTTCTTCTTCTGTTTGTCTGGTTTTTAAACTGAAATGAGAAAAAGCTTTAAAAGGTACTAAGTATTTTCCTTTTTTTTTCCCAAAGAATTTATTTATTTATTTTTGAGAGAGAGAGAGATTACAAGTGGGGGTAGGGAGAGAGAGAATCTCAAGCCGACTTCGTGTTGAGTGTGGAGCCCTAAGCGGGACTCCATCTCACAACCCTGAGACCATGACCTGAGCCAAAACCAAGAGTCAGGCGCTTAACACACTGAGCCACCCAGGTGCCCCAGTCTTAAGTATTTTCTAATGATTAATGTGACCACCAGACCAAGAGATGTGAAGACATGTTAAGCACTCTGGATTTATAAAGTGAATTCTTTAGTGGACTTTTAAAAAAAAATTTCCTTGAAAATACTATTTATTTTGGTTAAAAGTACAGATAAACAATGAGCTCCAGCATTGCATTTATAATATTTGAAATTTATCAATAACATTTTTATAACTGGGCTACACATTTCCATGGTCACAGTTCTCGGTCACCTAAGACAGCTGTTGTGACGAGCAGATGGACCCATAGTCGGGAAATCTGGGTTCTACTCCCAGGCAGGCCTCTAAGGATCTATGTGGCCTTATAAGAGTTGCCTCTCTCGGGTTCCCGGCTATTGAAAGAAGTATTTAGACCATTTGATTTCCAAGATCCCATTTGAGCTCTCCTGCTTAGAAAGAAACTTTGGGTCACATAGTGTAAAGTGCACCTGGTACCTTTTGAAGGAACAGGTTTAGACCATGTATAGAACAACAAGATACACTGGGTGTTATCCTTTACTCTTCTGATAATTCTTGTTTGTTTGTTTGTTTATTTATTTATTTATTTTGCTTTATAAGCTCTGAGCTTATTTAGTTGTATTACTTATAAATACATACTATTATTGCACTAATGATAGCTATTTTTCTTGGCAATTTTAATATTAGAAATAAGTTTGCCGGGGCGCCTGGGTGGCTCAGTCGGTTAAGCGACTGCCTTCGGCTCAGGTCATGATCCTGGAGTCCTGGGATCGAGTCCCACATCAGGCTCCCTGCTCGGCAGGGAGTCTGCTTCGTCCTCTGACCCTATCCCCTCTCATGTGTTCTCTCTCTCATTTCTCTCTCTCAAATAAATAAATAAAATCTTTAAAAAAAAAAAAAGAAAGAAGTTTGCCTATTAGATAAAACCTCACAGCTTGTGCTGGAAAACTATTTTCAGACTTTTCTGTGCTGTGGTATGTTGCTCTTCTAAAAGTCTACCCACTTTGTAGGTGTTGAATGACCTAGTCATGTACCTTTTTTCTAGCCTTCTTTTTCCAGGTCATCTGCACCACAGATGAAGGAAGCGTTAAAACACCTGTGGTCCAATATGATACCGCTACCGGATTTGGTAAATGTTTAACTCATATTATATTTAGTATAGAACCTATTCATTTTTCTAAAAAAAACCCCATATATTTGTTTATACATACGTGTGCTAATGTATTAGCATAGACTATATGGAAGGAACTGTGTTAAGTATTATAAGAAATTTTTTTAAAGGTTCTCACAGAAATTACATTAGACAAGGAGTTAGGACATGTGGTACTCTTAAAATACCGAGTCATTGAATTATAGACATAGAGAGATATTGTTAAATTCTCTCCTACCCACAAATCCTGTCGGTAAAGAACTAAAATGACTTTGTTTACCAAAAAAGTGATTTATAGAGGAAGTCAGAGAAAAGAGATCAGAGGAAGAGAGAAAATACTCTAATGTCAATTTGTGTTGATCATGGAGATAATATTGCAGATTCAGAGCCTAAAATGGTGAATTGGGGAGATTTCTCTCTTGTATTCTCTGTAGAAGATTATGATTGATTGTTATTACCAAGTAATTTAGCTGAAGAGATGAAATTATAATTTTAATGGAGCATCTTTTAAATTGAGTTCTACCTACAATCTTTGAATCTAACATGTGTAATACTTTACAATTTCAAAGGGCAAGTTAGAGAAATGCCAAATCTTTTCCATTAGAACAGAATTGGAACTGATACCCTATTTTAGATTCCAGTAACTAATGTTATATCAAATCTGTATGCATGTATAGTTAGGTTGTTTTTTTAATACAAATGTCCAAAAATTCTGAAACACAGGTAAACATATATATTGTTATCAAGGATAATTTCGATCACTAAAATATATATATATATTATTCTGTGATTCTAGATCTTACATGTCCGGATGCCATGTGCAATTTTGTACAATACCTAACACAATTCCACATAGTCTATCTCCATTTCATTTCATAGCAGCGGTGGGATAGAGTAGAATTTATTTGGTTTTTGGTTTTTGGTGTTTTTAGAAGGAAGAGAGGCGGGGGCAGAGGGAGAGAGAGAATCTTAAGCAGGCTCCACACCCCACTCGGGGCTTGATCTCATGATCTCACATGACCCTAAGATCAGGAACTGAATCAAAATCAAGAGTCGGACGCTTAACCCACTGAGCCACCCAGGTGCCCAATTATTTGATATTCTTTTAGCAACTCCAATGTTTCCACAAGTGGAGTGGACCAATGGAGGCCTAAGGGACACCAGAACTTAACCAAGAATTCTCCGAAAGCTTGTTGCTAAGATGAAAATTTGAACGTGGTTTCTGGGCTGACTCCCAGCCCCATACTTTTCCTTGAGCAGTGGTTCTCAAATTGAAGTGTGCGTAAGAATCATCTCCATGTGCTTATTTATTATATGGTTTCCCAGGCCCCTGGCAGAGATCAAGAGTCAGTAGGGCCCAGGAATATGCTCTTTCAACAAGCCCTGCCCATAACATTGTGTGTTAGCTATAATCAGATTTTTAAAATTAAAAAAGTAAATAAAAATAAACAAGTCCCGCCCAGTGATTCCGATGCAGGGGACCAGGATCATGAGTTGAGCAAAACCGCACAGTCTAGATTGAGCCACCTCCAAATCCAGCCCGTCCAGTCTCCGAGGTCAGGGGCAAGTACATCTTCCCTGCGGCGGGCAATCCACAGGGCGGGATCTACTCTGACACCACTGGGGTTTTTCTTTGAACTCGAGGCTCAGCCACTGCAGTTCCCTACCCTGACCCTGAGGCTTCCATTTGATGGGTGGAGTCCTTTGAAATCAAAGGGACTTTGAAGAAAGAAAACCGAGAAGGAATAAAGACACATCATCTCGATTTTAAGCTCTCCATAAAAGAGGGGAAGCCTGTATTGGGTTCCTGAACACAAACTGAGGTTTCCCTTAATGAGAGAAGGAACACTGAGGACGGCGAGAAGTTATGAAAAAATTCCAAGATGTATTGTCCAACTAATAGCCATAGTCAGTTTTAATTTTATGATGTAACTTCTAAAATGTTCCTGTTCCCTTGCCTGAGGCAGCCTTGCAGCACTGAAGTCTGGCCATCCTCATTTCCCTCCTCCTGTTCTGAGGGCTGTTTTCTTTCTGCGGCTTCCCTCAGGCAGGCTGCCCTACATTCCCCCTGTGTCCTCCCTAGCAAGGGGCCCACTGGGCCCATCAGATCCGTTTCTGGAGTTATAGCCCTGTGCCGCACAGAGGAAATTCAACTCTTCCAGCGCATAACCAAGGTGGTTGTTTTTGTTTTTTTTTTTTAATTCAAACAACACACATTGATTCCTAGTTAAGGGAATTCCTACCTGCTGGAATTAGGCAGAGCTTTGACCGCAAGTCTTTACTTTTTTTTTTTTTTAAGATTTTATTTATTTGACAGAGAGAGACCCAGCGAGAGAGGGAACACAAGCAGGGGGAGTGGGAGAGGGAGAAGCAGGCTCCCGGCTGAGCAGGGAGCCCGATGTGGGGCTCGAACCCAGGACCCTGGGATCATGACCTGAGCCGAAGGCAGACGCTTAACGACTGAGCCACCCAGGCGTCCCTGCAAGTCTTTACTTGAGATGAAGAAGCAGAGGTCCAGAAAGGCAGAGTGACTTTTTTTTAACCACAGAGCTATCAGAAGTCGAGTTAGGGTTAGCTAAGTCGTGTGGCTCCTCTTAGGGAGCTCGAAATTTAGTCTCAGTCACCTTCTCTCCCTCTCTTAAACCTCCTCACCCCGATTCTGAAGCCCTTCCCTTCCCTCCCACTGAAAATGTGGGTGTCAAGTGTCCAGCAGGCCCACCCAGTCCTTGAGGTGCTGCAAGGGGGAGTTAGTGCGAGGAGCGAAGAGGCACTTGCCACTGCCTCTGTTTGCCCTTCTTCCTCTTGGCCATAAGCACCTGCGTGGGTCGCACACCAGCCTGCGTGCCTGCTGCTGGATCCGTGGGCTTCCGAGGCCGCCCTGTGACCCCAGTCAAGGGTTCGCTGCTTGGGGTACATCAAATTGAGCACACCCAGAGGAAGTGTTGAAAGCAAAGAACTTTTTATTATTTGTTACAAGTAAGGAGACAGGGAGAAAGCTCTGTCTCCCCATGGGGTTAGTACAGGAAGCTTTGATTCAGTGCATGGGGGGCGGGGTAGGCACGGGGGGCTTACAGAGGCACTTCTGGTTCAATTCCACATGCCGAGCACATCAGCATGCTAGGGCAAACATCGTATGTTCAAAAAAATGGCACAAAACTCCACCCATAGGAAGAGACCTTAGTGTTATAATGAGCTAAAGATAACTTCAGGACAACTCCGGGGGGCGTCTGTGCTGGTCCTCATCCAACCCTGTTCCAACTGGCTCACGTAAGGGGCTGTCGGGCGACACACAGCTAGCGAGGGGCTCTCGGGTGAAACACCTGCTTGGCTGTGCCCTGGGCTGGTACTGTTCGTTCTGCAAAACAAAACACAGTTCTCCCCAGCTTTTGTCCCTTCCCCTCCTCCCTTCTGCTGAGAGTGTGCAGCCCTCTTATGTGAGTAACTTCCTGTGACATCCTAGCCAACAGCCCCAGCAAGTGGCTGCGCTGGAGATGATCTCTGAGCCCCGCTCGGGCCCCCGCTCCGTTTGCTTGATCTCACGGCCTTCTGCTGCCCTGCAGTGAGCCCTGTAAGCCTTTCTCCTGTCTGCCCCGGCTCATTCCAGCTTTCTCCACACCGGCAGACTTGAGAGCTGTGGGCCCAGCACAGGGTAAATACGTGTTCATTCAACGTGAGCTACTGTGATTAGCCTCACGTGCGGAGAATCACCTCGGCTGAACTCGCAACACTGAACAGAAACCAAGAGTAAGTGGTCCTCTTGCCAAAGGATTTCTTTCCAGGGGAAGCTCTCTGAGGGTTCTGGAGTGATGACTTGCAGAACTTCCGCTATGTCACAGAGAGGCCAGGGTACAAGAAATCTAAAGACAACATGTTGGCAAGCACAGGCTGCTTACATCACAATAGAAAACAGGATCTGCTCTTTCTAATCCGGTTTGCACAAAACTGCCCGGGAACCCAGCTGTTGCATGGAGTGAGGGGACCCTGGGTCTCCTCAGCATTGACTGTATGTATCCAATAGGTTCTCTGTGGCGATATTAATAAGGCTGGGCCCTCACGAGAGTCCATTGTTAAGAAAAGGCTTTGCTCTCAGGGCACGCAACTGGGAAGCAGGCATTCCTCAAGGTTCCCTTGGTGACCCCCTTTAAAAATCCCCGCATCCTCCTTGCCCTGTCTTTCCCAGGGAACGTGCCAAGGCAGCAGTGATTTCCATCCCGAGGAGCGTCAGAGAGGTCCCCTGAGGGCTGTAAGCTTCTCCCTGCCACACGGCACCATTTTCCCCGCCTGAACGCAAGTACACACAAGCACCATGAGACAAACTGCTTTAAACTCCTTTCCAATTTACTATCGAACAACAGGGCAAGGGATCACAAAATTGCCTTCTGAAATAACATTTCCTTTTCCTGTCCCTGGGTTTTGCAGGCCTGGTTCTGACAACTCCTGGAGAAAAGAGAGGATCGGGGAACAAAAGCACTGAGTTCTACAGCGAGTTATGGTTCATCGTGTTAATGGCGATTCTAGGCTTGATCTTGTTGGCCATTTTTCTGTCTCTGATACTACAAAGAAAAATCCACAAAGAGCCGTATATCAGAGAGAGACCTCCCTTAGTACCTATTCAGAAGAGAATGTCTCCACTGAATGTCTACCCACCCGGGGAAACCCACGTGGTATGTCTCTGAAAGCGGGCCCCATTTCCCTATCACTGGACTAGAATACTGGCTTTTATTTAGGTGGAAATATTTCCAGAGTCATGGTAACAAGGGATTAGCCCTTGTTTGTTAAAATACGGGATCCAAGGAAGGCTAATAGTGACCTTATGAAAGAGACCACCAGAGAGCTTTCTTGTCCCTTCCTCCATGTGAGGACACAGCAAGAAGACAAGAAGACCCCCGTCTGTGAACCAGGAAGCAGGCACCTACCAGACACTCCATTTGCCAGCACCTTGAGCTTGGACTGTCCAGGCTCCAGAACTTGAGAAATAATTTCTGTTGTTTATAAGCTACCCAGTCTATGAGATGCTGTTATAGCAGCTCAAAGGGACAAAGATACCTGGGAAGTTTTTAAAAACGCCATTGCCTGGGCCTTATCCCAGAAACTCTGATTCCATTGTTTTTGAGTGGGGCCTGGGGATTGGTGGGGCCTGGGAATGAGGGGCTCCTCATAGCTCCCAACCACCTGCTCCTAAGATAGGAGGTCAGGCAAAGGTCTTGGGCGTGAGGCCACACATGTGGTAGTGCAGGGGGATCGTGGCCCAGAGCACTCATTGACGGGATAAAAGGTGACTGAATTTGAAGGTGCACTCTGGTATGTCTACCTGGAGGAGGAAAGGCTGCAGACTCTAATTCCCACCAGGTGCCAGTCCTTTCCAAGCCGTGCGTCCAAAGGGCTGCATCTGCCTGAGAAATCACTTTTTTTCCAGTTTGCACAAAGGTTGAGCTCGTGGCCAGCTGTGCAGCTAAAACTCTGATTACCACTTCCACCGTGTGGGGGAGTTCTTCCACAAGAAGCAATCTTGGACACCAGCTGGGTGTCCTACAATTCAATTCTGACTCTATCTACCGAGAGATGGCATCAGATTTTACAAGCTAAGGGTTCAGGTCTCCAAGACTGTCCCCGCCCCCCAATTTCAGACACCAATCATAAGTCCAGGTTGTCACCTGGCTTCTGACAGACGAGCTACAGATTGGAGTTTGCAGTGGCCCCTCCTTGGGTTCGATTAGTTTGCAAGAGCAGCTCACAGAACTCAGAGAAACATTTCACTTACTGGATTACCAGTTTATTACAAAAGGAAAGAACTCAGGAAAAGCCAGATGGAAGATATGCATAGGGCGAGGCATGGGGAAATGGTGCTGAGCTCCCACACCCTGCTGAGCTCGCCACTCCCAGAACCTCCACGTGTTCACCAACCCAGAAGCTCTTAGAACCCTAAAATGGAGGCTTTATCACTTAGGTGTGATTGATTAAATCATTGGCCATTGGCTACTGATCCAACCTCCGGTCTCTCTCCCCTCCCCAGAGGTGAGGGGTTGGGGGTATGTTGAGTGGGGACTGAAATTTCCAGCCCTCTAATCACAGGGTTGGCTCTCCTGACAACCAGCCTTAGGTGGTGCCCAAAGTCACTCATTAACATAACAAAAGACACCTTTGTGGCTCTCCTCACTTAAGAAATGCTGAGGGTTTCAGAAGCCCTGTGCCAGACATGGGACTGAAGACCAAACATATATTTATTATAAATCACAGTGTCACAGCAGCGCCCAAATTAAGCACAGAAGCCTGGTCAAACCGGCTGAGTGGCAACACTTTAAAAAATAGAAATGAGTGAATCAACTGTCATCCAGATCTCTTCGCTTGTCCAGGACCCATCAACAAACAGCGGTTAAGGCGCTGACAAAGCCATATCACAGCCAAGTAGTGGAAGTGGGGGCACAGAGGGATAGTCATCCCTCTGAGGCCCATGGTTTGTGTCTGGGGCAGGGAGCAGCCATGGGACAGCGACTTGGTGGTGGAGAAGCCATGACAATGCCCCCACCATCTGGTCCTCAGCCCTCACCAACCATACCTCCTCCCACTCTCCTTGCTTTCCTAGCCTCCTTCCTCCCTGAGCACATCAAGCTCCTCCCACTGGGCCATCGCTCCTGCTCTTCTCTTGGGTGGCTCTCACTCTCACTTCATTCAGGCCCCTGCACAAATGTCACTTCCCCTTCCATGTGAAATTAAATTCCCTAGCTTCTTAGTCTACTTTCCTTTTCTATTGCACCATCACCACAAGATACCATAGTCAATATGCTTATCTGACTCCTCAAAGAGAATGTGAGCTCCCCAAGGGTAGGGATTTTGTGGGCCATTTACTTTTATACCCCAATACCCAGAACAGTGCCTGGCATATAATAGATATTCCACAAATGTTTGTGAAATGAATGAATATTGAATGGCCAACTCAAACAACCAGCCATGTGCTACTATTCAGTGTATATTCATTAGAAGATCCTCACTGAAGAGCAGATACTTTAAAGTTTTCCCTTGTGGAAGAGTAACTCTATCTCTGAGGAAGCCATGTTCTTAGACAAAAGAAGCACCACCACTTCCGGAGTCCAGAAGTGCATGGAAGGGCCCAGAAGACCTGAGACCACTCTAGCCTGGGGACATCAGCTAAATCAACCCTGGGCCATATGGAGTGCATGGAGAATGTGGAAGAGAAACTCTGGAACTCTGCTGGGTACATCTACTCTCTAACGTGAAGTGTGCTTCCAGTAAAACTTCCTCACATACCATTAGTGTAACTCATTTCAGTGATCAAATCTCCTGTCTCTTGACCCATACCCTACAGGAAGGCACCTCTGCCTCATAATCCTTCACAAGGAGGAATCCAGTTTTGTCCGCTTGGCTAACTGAGAGATCAAGAAGCAATCACATCATTCCAATGGGAAGTTACTCTGGATGGTACCATTGCTCACAGTTCTCATGAGTCTTGTCAAGCTTTGTTTCATCAAAGTGAAGCCCATGAACTATCAGTATCAACATCACATAGGAGCAGGACCTGAAGCTCTGAGAAAGAAACCAAAGGGTCTGCTATTTCAACCAGCACTTGGGAAGTTGTTTGCACAGTAAAGTCTGACAATAGTTAGAAATGAGTTAAAAATATAATACTAGAATACAAGGCCTGTAAGCACTCTGTATAGTCTCATAACCAGTGAAAACAGGTGGGGGGATTGCATGATTCTACTTATATGAGGTATCTAAAATAGTCAGATTCATGGAAGCAAAATATGGTGATTGCCAAGCTGGGGGAGGGGGGAAAGGGGTATTGCTAATTAACAGGTATAAAGTTTCAGTTCTGCAAGATGAAGACATTCTAGAGATCTGCTGAACAACCTGGTCCCTATAGATAACAATACTGTATTGTCACTTAATCTGTTAAGAGAGTAGATCTCATGTTAAATGTACTTATCACAATAAATTCAAAAACAAGACAAAACAAAACAAAACAGGTGGGGGCTGCTGATTAGCCCTTAGAGTCTCTGCAAAACAAGACCAAGCTGCCTCTGGGGCCAGACATAGACTTTAACTGGGATGAGCAGACAAAAGAACTGAAACATCCTACTCCCATATACCGCTTACCATTGGGGAAAAGCCGAGCGGCATACAACTCGTTCACTTTTGCTAAGTGGCCAAGGGAGGTGTGAGGAGGGGAAGCGCTGGTGGGGACTGGCAGGCTGCCAGAGGCTCTGGCTCCCCAAACTGGCTCATCTTCAGCATTGAGGGTGTTAGTCACAGGTCCTGGAGGGTTAGCAGAAGTGAAACCTGGAGTGCCCCAGGACCCTGGGCAGGATTCCGGAGCCCACTGAAATCCTAAATTAATCCTACCCAGGTAATAACATGTACTTGCAAGCCTTCTTCTGATGCTTTAAAAGAAAAAAATTTTTTTTTGAAAGTAAACCATTCTCACAAAGTTGGAAGAATATTAGTGAAGGTTAGTCAGATGAAGGAGAGTAGACTTTGCATTAATAGAGCAAAATAAAGAGCCATTGTTGGTGTCCATGGGCTCCAGATTCAGTGGCTAAGATTCTGAACAGGATCAAGTGGGATTCACCTGCTCAGTGTCTCAGATTGACTTTCTTTTGACTTGGGTAGGTGGATGACAGCTATCCCTGCAGCACACACACACACACACACACACACCCTGAGATGCAGCTCAGAATGATGATACGATTATGCTATCATTGGAGAAACAAAGCATTTGTTTTATGGTCATTTTGTTTGTTCCAAACACTAACTGATGCCTCCCCATTTGTTCTCAGTTTGACTCTGTGGCCGATATATCTGATGTGTCAAGCAATGTTACCCTAAAAAGTTACACCATGCACTTTGAGGTACCTCTGTGTGCTGCACGAATGCATGATCTTTCGCATGATGTGTTGACCGCACGATGAAAAGCAGGAACATTTCGTTGATTGGACCATCTAAATCAAACCTCAGATATTTGGAGCAGCTAGATTTTCTTATGGCACATTCTAGGTTCTAATCATATAGTGCCTTTGTCTTTCTGATATTAATACAGGACCTGATTTATTTTGAAGGCTGAATTTCATAATGAATAGAACAATTGAATGAGAAGAGAGGGTGGGAAGAGTCCATTTCCTTACACAAATCCAGGAATTTTAAAATATAATACAACCGTGTTCACTTGGCAACCATGAGAGACCATTATTAACTTTGCTCTGGGAAAGCATTGAACTCAAGACACAGGCTCTGTGGTGACACTCATGAAGGGATTACTTTGTTAACCCAACCTCTATCTCCTTCACCCCACCACTTCGCAAAGCAGCAAGCTCTTATCTACAGGGAACAACAGCCAAAGCACTAGGGCTTGAACTCCCTAGGTGCTAAGAACACTGGGTGTCTAATATGACTATTACTTTATCATCTCACCCTTACCAAGAAACCAGGGGCCACAGTATTCCAGATGAGCTAAGTTCTGTAGTAGGATATGGTGTGTTCCTTCATTGACAATGTGTGACACACAGTTTTCTGTCCTATTTCAAACCCATTTTCTTCAGATTCTAATCACCAACAGCAACTTTCTTTTCAGGGATTAGCTGATACCAAAATTCCCCGGTCCGGGACACCCATCAGTATTAGGAGCAACCGGAGCATATCCGTACTTCGGATCCCAAGTCAGAGCCAAATAAGCCAAACCTGTTCCCAAGGCTCTCTCCCCGGCAGTGTCAGCCAACTCATGCACATTCAAGACAAGAAAGTCTTGATCGATGAATCGCTGTGGGAAACCATCACGGGCCATGAGAGTGGATTGGTGAGTTTTGAGCGTACGATGTCAGCCTTTAACAAAATACTTACTGAGTACTTTTTATATTAAACTGATAGACTATCAATCAGTGGCAAACACTATTGACAGTGAATGTCCTAATCAATGACGATTGGCTTATTTTTCAGTATGTGGATGAAGAGGACCTGATGAACGCCATCAAGGGCTTCAGCTCTGTGACTAAAGAGCATACCACGTTCACCGACACCCACTTGTAAAGGATGGAAACTTGCAAGACAAAAAGCTGCAGGACCTGCTCCATACCCCCTCCCCACCGGGTTGTCACTGACTGACACACCATACATGCTAAAAAGCCTTGCTTCTTATTCTGTAATCCTTTTTTAAAAAACAAGGCTTGTTTTTGAAATTGTTCCTCCTTAATAGAGCTCTGTTTTTCTGGTGGTCTGAAATAAGGGATACTATCAGTATGGAAATTCTTATTTTGCTCTTATTTGGTGGAAGCTAAATAGCATGTAATTTTCATTTGGCTCAAACAGTGACTCCATTGGTTAAATGAATAATTAGTGACAACTTCAAATTGGCCCACAGTTGTTACAAGTAAGTGAAGTTACTAGTTTAAAAACAAAGCAGTTTTTCTGAGCGGATATCACTACTGCTCCTTTCACTCCCTTATTCCCGTGCAATCTTGTAAGAACACAATCCTGTAAGAAGAATTCGCATGATCATAGCTACAAAATAAAATGCCAGTTTCAGGCCAAAAGCTGAACCAGTTAGAGAAAAACAAACTGCACTGAGGGATACACACTGGACTGAAAGTTCAATTTAGTGGCAATGTTTAGGGATAAGTACCAAACTTAGCTGAATAAAAAAAAGTTTTCACCAACCTTTTGAGAGAGCACTGCATAAACTTATAAACCTCTGTTCTTGCATTTATGAAACTTCTGAAAAGGACTAAAGAGCTATTTCCCACATATTTTACATGGTTTTGAAACTACAGTACTTTCCATAAAATTCTGTCAATTCGCTGAATACCCAGGGATGACATCTTCAATTTAACACCTTTCACTTGGTTACATATTTGCATTATTCAATTAGCCCATGTGGAATTTAAAAAGGAAATATTTCGTGCTCCTTCCAGCTTTGAAATCGTTTAAATTAACATTTATACGTAAATGTTACATAAGCGTATATATTCTATGTATAGCTATGTGTCTATTACTCTGGACTGTGTCCCTTCATTTCACTCTCTGTTTTAGCCCTCGAGTCACTAAGAGCGGAGGATATTCCACAGTTCCAATTTCCATGGGTCAAAAGTTTGTCATCTGCTCTATTTGGATTAGTCATTGGTGAAAGTCCCACAGCAAAAGACATTTTTTTTCTAAGTCATCAACATAAAATTAAAGGTATTTAAGTTTGTTCTTCACGGAAAACAACGTAAAAAAAACAAAACAAAACAAAATGAAACAAACAAAAACACCTGTCTTCCTTATTCTTAAAGGTCTACTTAATGATGCCAGGAAACTATTTTGAATCTAGAGGTCTCATACACGATTGTCTGACAGCATTTTGTGAGTTAATCCAGGGGTAGGTGGATTTTCCCAAAGCTGAACTAGCAAAAATTTGTAAAATAAGGGGTAACATTATTCTGCCTCAAAACAAGTCAGATTGTGGACTCTGGGGGGGTACTGAGGCTTTAACCCAATCTGTGGAAGAACAGCTCGTCAGACTGATCAGCTCCCAACAAACCTTGCCAACTCTAAGTGTCAAAAGCACATACCAGTATTAAACAGAAGTTCTGCTCCCTTGTTAGAACTACTATAAGCCAACGAATCTGAAATAATTGTGCATCGTGGGCAGTGGATGTACAAATTATAAGATTTTTTTTTCTCGCCAGAAGTTTTATATTTTCTTAAATGGAAACACGGGATTGGCTAATTTAGTTTACTGGTTTTCATTCCATTTGTTGATTCTGGGTCAAGAAGTTGTTTAAAGCTGGTACAAGGGAGCCTTAACCAAGGCTGAGCTTCTGAGTCACACGAGCTACTTCAGGTACGCAGGGAAAATGTGCTTTTTTTCCAGTTATAAACTTGCATCTTTATCCTTGGTCTACTCTTCTGCAAGTATGATTTGCTGGTCACAGGTGGATTTAGGAGATTGAGGTCTTCCTCATTTTTGAAAAATTAACTAGATACCTTTATCACAATTGAAAACTTTTTATAAAATGGTTTCCTCACATTGCTACTTTTTGAGATTTTATTTATTTATTCATGAGAAAGAGAGAAAGAGAGGTAGACAGAGAAGAAGCAGGCTCCCTCCAGAGCAGGGAGCTGGACACAGGGCTCGATCCCAGGACCCGAGGATCACGACCTGAGCCGAAGGCGGACACTTAACCAACTGAGCCACCCAGGCACCCCCTATCACAATTTAAAACCTAAAGAACACAAATGGAGAAGTGCAGGGGATTTTATATTAAATCATTCTCCATTTAAGCTAATTAGACATTTAGTTATTACATGAATTCACTTAGCTGCATCATTTACATTGTGATCCCATAGCTGGACAGAAGCTTGTATGGCTCCCACCAAGAACACTGCCCCCCTGTAACACTCTGAACCCTACTTTCCTCTCTTTCAGAGAAGCCCAAGATTTTGTTAAGTGGTATTGTGTGCCAAGCCTCGCTGAAGTGTAGACGCATCCCTAGAGGCTGACTCAATTGTCTGCCACGGGCTGAGGCATCAGTGCTTTTCAAAGTTTTCGGGGGTTCCAGGGTGGGCAGCCAGGGGTGGAAAGCAACCGGGAGGTGCTCATGGGCTGAGCTATCGGGCGCACCACTCCTCCCGGACTGAGCAAACAATGAGCAGGTCTCTACGAATCCCTTGAAGTTGGTTCTAAATCTCCTGACACAGGTCTGACCACTTGCAGAGGCCACATTCCCAGCTTCGGAACTACTGTTATTCCTAATATCAGCTGTTTGGTAAGAGTGCATAACTATGCTTTTACAAGCTCTATTAAAAATTGTATTTCTAGATGATCTGTTGTCATTTCCACTAAATGGAAAACCTAAATATGAATCTGTCAGTGTACCTGATGCTGATCTAAAAATCATGCTGGCATCAATATAATTCTTCTTGAACAACCTGTAAATAAAACATAGGCCAGATGGAATAATTCACTGATAAGGAACTTAATTATGTCACATGAGTAGTTTATTTCCAATGCACAAATATCATGTAAATTCATCTCAAGATGGTTTGCTTAATTGTTCAATGTAAACCAAGTTTGATTTATGAAAACACACTAATAGCTCTGAGTTATATTTACAGTTTACACATAAATGATGATGATAAAGGTAAGCCCATTTAAGAAAACGGGATGTTCTGGATAATCTCTCAACCATCGGTGTCCATTAGGATCAACGGTGGCGCTTTTTTTCAAAGCGTGGGTCCCACCCACCAGATTCGAACTTGGCAGGTCTGGAGGGAGGCCCCGGCAGTTTCCTGTGCGTACCCTGAGGTCAATGTCATGTTCTCAGCCTAGACGAGAAAGCCAGGAACAAGACCACAAGCTCCCAAAACAGGCAGACATGGGTTCAAAAGTTGGCTCAGTAGCTGACAAGCCTTGGGGCTGGCTAAGTTTTTTCTCCTCAGTGATCTCATCTATGAAATGGGGGTGGCAATACCTATCCAACAGGTATGACTGTACTTCTGAGAACTGCTTTCAAGTACAGAATTAGTTGAAACACTCTTCATCGTGAGAATTCTAGTTCTGTTCTTGTTCTTCAACAAACACGAAGTATACAGATTCAGCTCGTTTGTTTTGTTTTTTTTCTGTCACAAAAATACCTAATGAGGTAGGTAGAAGGAAAATGCTTAGGCCTGGCAAGGATCATCTGCTCAAGGTGCCAAAATGGCAGCTAGACTCAAACCCCTGTCCGAGCATCAAGGTTCAAACTCTTGGAGTGAGCGAAATAAAAAAGCTCTGACTCGTAGTAGACTGCAACCTATGGTAGAGTGAGTTGCCTTTTTATGGCATTTTACTATGTAATAGTTTCCTCCACCCCTGCCTCCCCCATGGCCTTTTACTCTTGGAAAAGGCTGGTTAAATACATTTTTTTCGTTCGTTTTCTTACTTGCCCACCCACCTTTTACATGACTGTGATAAGGAGAAAGAAGGCTCCAGAGAGAATGACAAATCCTTAGCAATATGGCAGTGAGGTTTTGCCGGACTCTTCCTCTCAGTGAGAATGTAAGTCAGCCTTCGTGCCGTGTTCCGGTCTCCCTCTGCCCTCCCCCCTTCTGACCGTGGGAAGGAGACTCGAACCAACGAGGTGTACTTTGAAGGTGTACCTCAAACAGCATAACTACTCCCTAAATAACCAAGAACACAGAGTCTTAATCATTTTTATTAGACTTCATTGATAAATAAATACAAGAGAGGTGTTGTGAAACCACTAGCAATATAGTAAACTTTAAAGAATTTATTTCAATTTCACTCACTTATATTTCTTGGAAGGGGAATATATACATTATCCACCAGTAAATGCTTAATGCTTTAAATTTACAATTGCCCTATGTGCAGGAACTTGACAATTATTCCAATTAAATGAAAAAAAAAGGTAAAAAAATTTTTGTTCTCATAATTCAAAATATATTTTAAAATAACATTTGTATAGCAGCCAAAACCTTTAACCAAAAGTTGAGAACTGCAGTCTCAGAAGCTTAATAAAATGGCCACATTCTGACTTAATTATTTTCATTATTAATAGTTGGGCGGGAAACACACGGCCCCTAAATCAAACAAGGCAGACCGACAACTAGTACGGTTTCCCTTCTGGGCACTCACAGCTCTAACCTTGATTATTATTTTTATTTCATCTGTTCAAACACAGATGATTGCTCCAACTTTAAAGAAAGTTTAAATGGACTTTGGGTATTTAATATTGGTGATGCTTGCTAAGATTTAAGAACTCCAAAAATGAGAATCAGAAAATGACCTACGATTTAAGAAAAATACCTGAAGGGACTGCCTACTACACACTATAATGTGTTCCACATCAACAGCGTTTCTGAATTAGATGATATTTTTTCACAAACATAGCACCTCATTAAGTATCTGGTAAACACATGGCAATCACAATAAGTGTTGGGAGACTATCCAAAGAGATTTAATGTGATTCGCTTCACGTAACAATGAAAGACAAATCTCAAGCATAATCAAGATTAGGAACGCAATCTGTTGGTCCCCATGCCCTTAGGGA